ACTAATCGTTTCTTTACTTCATTGTTACCACATTGGGTCTGCGCGTCCACTGTTGTCCTTGACAGGCCTGGGCTTCTATATTTAGCAATAGCTTTTTTAATCTCCTGTGATATACTTGCTACCAGGTCTTTCATTGTTTGGTTTATATGACGCTGGCTATTCATAATACCAACAAGTGCCTGAACCTTGCTCTCTAAATTATCAAAAGGCTCCTCTGTGTCTGTTATTGAGAGCCTCCTATCTGAAATCCCTGTGTTGAGAATCGCTGCCGTCGTTTCTGGCAAATTAATTGCTAAATTAGCGTTTGAGGCGCAGGCATTACCTTTATTTTCGACTGGGCCATTTTTACCGCCTGGTGATCTATGCGATTTAATTGCATTCGCATTAGATACCTCATCCTCCGTCACAGTTTTACCTGAATTTTCCATTATAATTACTTGTAATTACTATTGTACTTACTCAGGTGTGTTTTTAATTCCCACTGGGATGTATAATTGCAATTTACTGCTGGGGTACTGTATATGCTACTAAAAAGCTTTTGTTTATAATAATGTTCTAAGCAAAGGTTTGAAGCTTAGATTAAATACAGCTTTTTTTAGTTTCACTGCTTAAACAGGTTCCACAAACAAAAGAATAAAACAACCACCAAATAAAAAATTAATTCACTACCGTAAATTTAACATCAGTAATAATTTGAGAGGAAATGCTTTATTTTGGCAGTGTCCAGGAGCGCGACCATACAGGTCCGCAGTTCCTTCGCACAAAATTTTATTAAATAACACAAATTAAAATAAAATATTTAATTATTTGCAATCCACTGTTCGATCAGCTGATAGTATCAAAGTGGAGATTAAAAATTAAAATCCACAACAACAAAAAAGTAAAAAGAAGCCGGCAAAACACTACCGTGCTGACTCAGCAAATTAAAAGAATTATTATTTTAACGCCACTATAAGTGTCCGAGAATGTGACCAACTATCTCCGACGGTGATCACAGTTCTTTCGCACAAACGTTTAAATCAAAAGATTTAAAGAATCACGCATCGTATATAGTTAAAAAAATAAAACTATTGGAGCGCAAAAAAACACGTCATTCTCGATATAAGATACATGAAGTGTGTCATGTGAAGTGTGTGTGTGTGTGTGTTTATCTATTTGTCTACTTCTGTAATTGTATATCCTGGCTTGATAGTTTGTCTGTCTGTTTGTTTGTTTGTTGTTTGTTGTTTGTTTGCTTGTGGCTAAGTACAATTTGCGTTTTAATGAAAAGAGACTGAGTGACACCAAACAAACGACTTTTTGTGGCTAAGCGACGTTATGGCAACGTTACGCAATCTCCTCGGAAACAGAAACAAGAAAATGTAAGGACAGACACCACTTTAACGCAAATATGCAATTCACGCTGCTCAAGTGCATTTAACTGTCGCTTGTGTACTGTGACATACACACTCATTCGTATACCACATCCGTCATTTATGCATTTGTGTGAGTATTTTATTGATGTTAGTGCAGTGAAATTGGCGTATTGCAAACGGAAATTGATAGCTGCAGATATAAGCTGGAATATGTGTAAAAATGCTTATTCCTCTCATAACCGCAAATCAACTTCATGGTTCAATTAATAAACCAACTGGCAAATAAAACGTGCATTAGGCTACATACTCAGTCGCACGAGCACAAATCAAAGGTAATTGACATGGATTTAGTCGGATAACTGCAGTTAACATATGCACCACATCTGCGAACAAGCTCGATTCACATCGATGATAAGCACATGTGTGATGTATTGACTTCATAATTTGGGTCGAATTTGATTAATCAATTCTTCCTCTCTCGGAATCATATTTGATATACAGTGAATCAATGCATAAGTTATGACCACTTAGACAATAATTGAGGTGTTACACCCGCAGGAAAATTGCATATTTAAACATTTTTTAATGGAATTAGTAAAAGAATTTTAAAAAAATTATAATTTTTTAAGGTTTGACGAATCTTTAATGCGGATTTATTCCTTTAAAACTTTTTTATGATATTCTAAAAGGAGTTTTAAAAAAATCATCACTATTCAATATTGGAAAAATGTTTATTTCTTTTATAAAAACTGAACGACAACATCAAAGAAACAGGAAACAAAATGTAGAAATATAACTTAAGTCTTGGATGATACGTATATCACTAGAATTTATGATTTCAACAGTCTATGAAAAAATTTGAAATAACCATGCAGAAAGTCACTTTTTAATATTGATGGTATAGCTATGCTATGTAGTCATTCATATGACTAACGGTCATATTGCTCCTACCTAGTATTGTGCTCCTACCTGTCATGACCATGAAGATAACATATGTTACGTAAAATGTCCAAAATTGTGAATTTCATACTGTTAGTTCTGTTTTGATATTTTTGGGTTGTGGATGAAGTAAAAGGTAACATTTTTTCCATGCATATAAGAGCATATCTTATACAAATATGCATATTTGCTCCTAAAAGGCACAAATTTTGAGCAATACGGTTTTTAGCAACGTGATGAGAAATAGAAAGCCACGAAGAAATCGAAATTTCTGTTGGTGTCATTGTCAAATTTCTAATTGACATTTAAAACAACAACAATAATTTCACTTCTGAAAGTAAAGTAAATTTGTTTTGTACCAAATAATGTGTTTTCCCCAACCAATTATCAATTACCATTATGTATGTAGTTAACCAATATAGTATGATTTGGCTATTTTAAAAGTTTGTTTTTTTGGGGGAATATATATTTTATATGGAAGAGTAAAATCGACGTTTTTGCTCTATTATATATTTTACTATCAGGTTTAATAAAGAATATGATAACAAAAATAATACTATAAATAACACTATATGTACTTAAAAATAATTTGCCAGTGGCAAATTTAGTTTGCGAATTGCATTTCAATAATTTCGATGTTGAAGAGGCTTCACCTTCATGGAAGCACTTCTTAAGGTTTGAGTGTTAAATCTTGAACTATAAATAAAATGTTTAAAATCAAATATCGCGTTTTCAAATTATATGAAACCGTTGGATGTAATGCCGTGATCATGAACACTTTTTAATGATTTTACAGCGAAAATTCGTCTCTTAAAAATTAAGGCACTGATGTATTCCAACAAGCGAGTTTCAACTTGAAAGATCGGTAAGGGTAAAATTGATTATACTTTACTATTAATTGTCTTAAGGTTGCATCAAAAAATTTGATCGCTTATACTTATATTAAATGGAAAATACGGTTAAGCAAAAAATATGCAAACCAAGTCATACTATATTAAAAGACGATATTTGCTAAAAAAATTGATGACAAAAAATTAATTTTTCATTTCATTTTGGAAGTATTTCAAGATAACCTTTTCGTAATATTGGAACTTCCCTTCGAAACAATGCCAAAATTGGATTATAAAGTATGTATTAACTGTATAAATTGAACTAAATTGTACATAAGCAATGCCGGAAAGAAATGATAGAATAAGTCCTTCAAGTTAAAGACAAATCATATACAAGTTTTTTAACTCATCAAAAATTTCGCAATGTTAAAATTGTATTACCCCAACAAACATATTTTCCTCATCTGATAATTAAGAAATTGATATTTGGACGTATTTTGGACAAATAAACCTTTACTTCATATTAGAACATCAAAAATGAGCTTCATCAGTTTTTTGTCAGCAATTGGCAGCAATAATAATTTTGGAGAAATACACTTGAAGAAAAAAAACAACTTCTTCAAAGCAGAGTTTTACATGATGGCAATCAAGAATATTCTAACTCAAAACTTTCTTACGTAAAAAACTATGGTGTGTACTAATCTTACTATTATTCAGTCATAAGTTTTTTTTTTTAAATTAAATTAGTTATATTAAAATATATTAAATACACTATTATAATATGTTTGTAATTTTGTAATTGTTTATATCCGCACTCTTGGTTCAACTACAGAAAATCCCTTTCGGCTGTACTCTTTATGAACCAAAAAACTGATCAATTAGAATCTTAACAAGTTGTTAAACTCTATTCACTAATTAAGATTCATTATAGTAATATTAGGAGCTTTTCAAGTATTTTTAACTTTAAACAACTGGTATTATTTGTCATAAAAATTTTTAGGTTCTTGATCTTATTGGCTGCTAAGCTTTTCGTTTCCAAACTTTTTCCATGAAAATAGAAATCTGCAAGTGGTAGACATTTGCAGGAGCAGGGATATTTATTTTTTTAAAACTTAAATTTGAGCTAAGATAGACTTTTAGTAAAATTTTATTAATTCTTTATTTTCTGCTTATTTGTTACTTCTCTAATAGTTCTGCTACTTAAAACTACCTATATACAATATTATTTTTCTTGATTTTTTTGATTTCTATGTTTTGATTAATATTATATTATTTCTGAAGAGATTGAAAGAAAATTCAACACCAAACCATCAAAAACTAAACCATGTTTCAGAAAAACTAAGGAATACTGAAATACTCATATGAAAATAAAAAAAAGGAAACTTCTTAAAATGTAAAAATATTTTGAGATGTTTGAGGTTCCATAAGAGAAAGATATATTTCTCTATTTAAGAGAAAAATAATTTAAAATATTGCATGCAACATAAATAAACTGTCCCAATTCTAATGGGTTGAATCTGTGCACATAAAGAAGGAACTTAAAGTGTTTCTTATGTAGTAAATGTAGACAACAAAGAAACTTTCTTTGCAGCACATTAGGAAGTATTAACAAATAGGAATAAAGTAAATTTATCACTATGTTGACATTAGTTTCCCTCTATCAACAGAACCGAAATTAAATTTAAATTCAATTATTGATTTTGTATTAACTATTCAAATAAATATACAAATTAAACAAAATCATGCAATAAATAATGCCTCTACAAAAGAATAACA